CCAATTGATGGAAAGGCGGCAGGCAGGTCTGACCAAGCAACTTTGAAGAGTAGCTTGGGTTTTTCCCCCTTAAAAAATGGTGGGGAGGAAGACTAGCACGTACGCCAACTATTCGCGCCTTCCTAAGACACTACAGCGGAGTAGGCGGCGGCGTGGACGCTCTAGCGGTCCAGCGCTCTCTCGTTGGTTGCCATCTCTCTCTCTCTCTCTCTCTCTCTCTCCTCTCTCCCTCTCTCCCTCTCTCTCTCTCTCTCTCTCTCTCTCCTCCCCTCTCTCTCTCCTCTCTCTCTCTCTCTCTCTCTCTCTCTCTGGCCACCCTGGGCGCCGCCATCTTCCCGTCCCAGAAGGCGGGGCGGGGCTAGTGCAGTCACGTGAGGAGCAAGCCACAAGTCTTCGAGGATTCCCGTCCTCAAAGAATGGCTATTAGGGGCTACTTGAGTGCCAGGGACTGTTAGGAACATACAAGCTACAGCAGCGAAGAAGACGAAAATTCCTACGTGGTGGAGCTTAACTTTATATTGGGAGGAGGCAGTCAATGAGCAAGATAAACTAGGAAACCACATAGTGTATGGTGTGAAGGGCTATAAGGAAAAAAAAATACAGGAAAGGGACTGGGAAGGAAAAATATGGCTCAATTTTAAATGGGGTTGATAGAGAAGATTTAACTCAAAATAAAATTTGAGTCTAGAAATCAAAGGAGGCTCATGCCCTGTGAACCACAGCATTTTCCAGGTAACAGTCAGAGGCCATGGTGGGGTAGGATCAGGAGATGAGCTGGGCCGGGGAAAGAATGTAGATTTGACAGGGCTTCATTGGGTAGGTTGACCATGTAATGGGTTGGCCAGAAAGTCTGTTTAGTCTTTTCCGTAAAATGAAAGACACATTTCATTTTCACTAACAACTTTATTGATTTGGGTATTTTGAGTATGTCGGCTATCTCTTGCTATTGGCTTCTGGTGAGTAGAGGCCAGGGGTGCTGCTAAACATCGTCCAATGCATAAGACAACCCTACAGCAAAGAATTATTTGGCCAAAATATCAATAGTACCAAGAAGCTCCGCAAATCACTTCTGAAATATTTGATCAATCACACCACCTTCTCCATACGCTACACAAATCTTTTTTGCATTTCAGTTACATTTTTACCTTTCTTGAGTAATAAAGCATAATATGCTGAAAATGTTGCATATCTTCTTTCATTTTCAACATTAAAATAGCTGCACAATAATTCACCAATTTTGATTTTTTTTTATTAAGTGCACGCTGATATGACAGCTGTCACAATACAACCTAACAAAATTGTTTTGAATGAAGTTAAAGACAACTAAGCACTACAAGAACCATCATGCAGAAAAAACTAAATGAACTCTTTGGACAACCCAATATTGAGACCACTCTGGCTCTATTTAGACCACATCTGAGCGAAGGAAATGCTGTTAATACATACGTGAAGGCAACAGGCATAAGCTGTTGTAGGACTGTAGTCAATGATCAGTAGGTGAATATGGCTACCTTCTGTATAAGGGCCTTTGGGTGTTACTTGAAGAAAATGGGAAACTGTTAGAGGGTTTTGAAAAGAGAAGCCCCAAGACTAATATTTACTCCAATAGCATCACTTTAACTGCTCTGTTGAGAATAAACTGTAAGGGCAAGGGCAGAATAAGAAATCAGTTAAGTAATGCAAGTAAGAAAAAGATGATGCTGGCTTGCAGTAGGATGGTAAGATGTGGTTTGATACTGCTCGTATATTAAAAGTAGAGGCAAAGGAAGTGCTGATGGGTTGGATGTTAGGTGTGAGAAAGAGTAGTCAGGCATAAGCCCAAGGTTTTTGACATAAGCAACTGGAAAGGTGGGAGGATCACAAAAAGAGTAGGTTGTGGGGTTAAGTGTAGGTGTTTGTTTGATTTTGGACATGCCAAGTTTGAATTGCCTATTTGATATCCAAACAGAGATGTTAGTAGGTAGTTGGACATACAGTCTGAAATTCAGAGTAGAGATCTGAACTGGAGATACACCCTTGGGGGCACTATTATAAAGATGGTATTTAAAACTATGAGATTGGATGAGATCATCAAGAGAATGGGGTAAATGGTGGAAAGGAAGTCTGAGGATTGAGCTTCCAGTCCTCAGTAGAGCCTCTGGTCCACAGTGACATTTTAGCTGTTCCTCTAACACCTAGGGGTGCTCCTGGGTTAAGAGGAGAGATGAGGAAGAACCAGCAAAAGGGAGTGAGCAGGAGGAAATCTATGAGTGTGGTGTCCTAGAAGCCATATGAGGAAAATGTTAAGAGAGAATAAGGTAGTGGTCAAGTATGTCAAATGATGCTGGTAGTTTAGTAAAATGAGGACTGATCAATGACCCATGGATTGACCAAGTGGAAGTCACTGGTGACTTGATGAACAGTTTCCCTTTTGCTGAGGGGCAAAAGCCTAAATGTAGTGGGTTTAAGAAGAAACGGAGTAGGGGATTAGAAATGACAGCTTATACAAGTTTTGCTATAAGAAAGAAACAACAAAGAAATAGAGTGATAACGGGGGGGGGGGGTGTAATAGATTCAAGAAAATCTTTTTTTTTTTTTTAAGACAAGAGAAATAAAAGCATATTTGTAAACTAATGGGAATGAGCCAAATGAAAGGGTAAAGAAGATGATTACATGGGGCCTAGTAGCTGGTTAACTTTAACTGGAAGCATAATCAGTTTGTCCCTAGTAGTAGGCAGGAGGGCAGAGCAAAATGTGGTGGATAGATAGGAGCTTTTACAGTCTCATCTGATGGCTTCTGTTTTCTTAGTTGGGAAGCAAGGCAGTGAGCTGAGAGTGAGAACAATGGTGGAAGCACTAGAGGGTTGAAGAGAGGGGTGAAGATTTAACAGTCATCTACGAGTATGGGGGAGTAAATAGTCTAGAGAAATCTTGTCTGAGTGCTCAGCAGCATTAAAGATCCATTTATGGTTCATGATATGAATTTGAAATGAGACTTGCTGCCACGGTTGGGTGTTTTCACCAGCTACATTCAGCTACTTGAGCAGCCTCAGGATAGATGGAAATTGTTTATCAGGGCTGCGGTTTTGCCAGGAGGTATAACTAAGTGATAGAGGGACAACGGAGTGCTTTTCACTAACCGTGACCTTTAAGCTGGGTAAAAAAGGAAGTGGAAAGAGGGCAGGATCAATGGATTTGGGGTTCAGTGAAGTGGAGGATAGGTGGGGTCAGGGCATGACAAAGACCCTTTCCTTGACCAAACTTCAGTCAGGTTCCTCTGAACTGTCTTCTGACCTGAGCCCCCATCCTTGCTGAAGCTATCCTTTAGAAAGCTATCTGATCACCCTGGCCTGCCTTCAGCAAGAATCCTGTTAAGTCTGTTTAGCTAGAATCCCCCTATGCTTTCTATTTCCTCTTAGTAATTTTCCATTCACTGGCCCCCTCATTTTACTTGTTACGTATAAATCCTCAACTATCTTTGCTGTATTCAGGCATTGAGCTCCACCTCTGTCCCCTATTGTGATAGTCTTGACACCTATTGCAATAGTCCTGAATAAAATCTTTCTTACCATTTTAACAAACATATGATTAATTTTTTCTCAACAGGCCTACGAAATGAGCTGAACAGAAAGAGGAAGGGCCTGCAATTATGGATAAGAACAAGGTCTAGGTATGACCACTGAGTAGGAAGGAGGATACGATTAATACAGAAGCGGAATTTAAGTGACTGCCAGGCCAGGGTGTTGGAAGTCTCATCAATGTGGATATTGAAGTCACCAAAAAGTGTGGCAGGGGTGGTGTTGGAGAGATCCAGGAGCCATATTCCATGTTGTTCCATTCCATTCCATTCCATTCCATTCCAGCAGAAATGACCAATAAAAATGCCACAGTTTAACTCATGAGACCTCTCCCTGGCAAAGCCACATTTCCACTAGTTTGAGCCCTTTTGTCTACAGCCAAAGACAAGTGGGAGGAAAAGCGGTGTTCATTTCCTGAAGCTCAAGTGACAGTGTAACCATAGAAGGAAAGTTAGAAATGTATTACTGAAGCTCTCTAAGCTTCCATTTCCTATTGAAAAATAGAAATAATAGCAGTACCTACCTACCTACGTACCTCATAGACTGGTTATGCATATTTAATGTAACACTGCATGCAAATGATAACACTGAACATTTCAGCATTGTTCTCAAGCGCCTATTGGTTTAACTGAGTCACCTTATGCGAGAGGTTGTAGTTAATCCCTAGTTTACAGATGAGAAACGTTGCCAGGTAGTGCTGATGTTGCTGGTACCTGAAGAGAATGAAATGGGCGTCCGGAGGTTCACAAATCCTGTAATTTCTACTAGATGGGAGAACGCGGTAGGAGGAGAGGGACGAAAGCGGGCGGCAGACAAAACAGACCGACTGATGCGTGCGCCTCCAGGGCTCGTCTGGATGAGCGGCCAATGGCTCCCTCAGGTGGCGGAAGCAAAAAGGGCAGCCGGTGGGCTGGACCAAGCTCTAGGGAAGGGCACCTGTGATGAGGAGGGAGGCCAGGACCCAGCGGACATTCCGGGGATTCGAGAGCCTGGATAGGACACCCGAGGGCTTGAACCGACGCGGCCCCGTGTTCCCGCGACACACCGGGGCCAGGTATCGCGGTCCCGCCCACCTGCAGCCTGCCTGACGCCGTAGCCGCACGCTCCTTTCATCGTTGGCTCTTGAGGACGCCCCTGAGCTCGGAGGGAGGTCCCGCCCTGGTGACTGGCGCTTGTTTGCACCAGGGTAATGGGCGTTGTAGGAGCCGTGGCCCACACCCTGCAGGCGGCGCTCGCTTGAGGGGCACCCCTGGCAGCATCCAGGGAGCACGTGGAGCAGGAGGAGCGCTGGCCACTGGAGCCTGGAGGGGGCGGGGCTTTTCCTGGGTGCGCCCATGGGGCGGGGCCGAGCCCGGGGACCAATGGGACGCGTGTGCTGGGGGGCAGGCTCCCGGCCTGGCATCCCGGTAGCCGCAGCTGTCTTTTCCGGCACCCGCGCCCCCTCCGCCCGTAGGGGACCCCTCTGGCTCTCGGGGATCACCCCGGAGCATCTGCGTCCTCCGGGTGGGTGAGTGAGCGCTCCGTCGCACCTGGGCTGTGGGGGTGCGCGTGGCAGGGGAGGAAAAGATCGCGGCCCCCTCCTACCCACCCCGAGAGAAAGTGGGCAGGAACCGGGGCGGGGAGGAGGACCTACCTTGTGTTGCCCGCCTGTGTTTCTGTTTTGGTAGTCGAAGGGTGTATTTGGGGGTTACTTCATGTGGTGGAAGGGATCTGGTGAGGCCAAGGGGAAGAAGAGACGGTTTGAGATGGGTTGAGGGAGAGGGTTGAGGGAGGGTGGGGCGTGGGAAGATTGGGAAGTTTCTTGTTCCCAGTAGGTGAGGCGACTGCATAGGGGAGCTTGAAGGGGCGGCTCAGTACTGCGGAGGAGGGGGTGAGGAGGGCTTCCTGCCCAAAACTCACTTCCCTTTTGGGGGATTTGCTTCCTCTTCTGCTAGTTAAGAAGGGAAAGGACCTTTGCTTCTTTCCAGAACCACTGCCATCCCTAATCTCAAGAATATGGGGAACGGGTGGCCCCTAGGAGCTGAAAGGGGCCTTGCTGCCCAAATTCTGCCATTGTTGGGGCAGTGGCCAGGGCCAGTCACGCCCCCCCCTCCCCGTCCCCCCCACTAACTCTTTGTGTGTGTTTCCTTTGGATGAGGCTTCTGGGTGTTTACTTAAAGGTGTTTGTCGGGGGCAGTCAGTGGAGCTGCTTTCCATTCAGGACACTCTCTTGTGCAGGCCTCATAATCCACTGCTGGCTTCCTCCACCTGCTTTCAGCCATGGCCAATGAAAACTCTCCTTTGCTGGCCTACCGGCTCCTAGGGGAAGATGGGGTTGCCTTCTCTGCTGATGGGCCTGGAGGGCCTGGAGGTGAATCTGCCAGGAAGCTTTCCACCTTCCTGGGTGTGGTAGTACCCACGGTTCTTTCCATGTTCAGTATAGTTGTCTTCCTGAGAATTGGTGAGTGGATGGGGAAAGGGGCTTCCTAGGGGGTGTAGTGGGGAGCAGGGGGGCTGGGATGAAGTTGTGGAAGGGCTATATAGGTTACCAAGGACCAGTGGGCAAGGGGTAACTGTGGGGGATGTGAGTCATCCTTTAACCTGCTTTGCCATGCCTGTCCCAGGGTTCGTGGTGGGCCATGCTGGGCTGCTGCAGGCTTTGGCCATGCTCCTGGTTGCCTACTTCATCCTGGCACTCACCGTCCTCTCTGTCTGTGCCATTGCCACTAATGGAGCTGTTCGGGGCGGCGGAGCTTATTGTATCCTTCAGCATTGATTGACTGGGGTCTGGCTCTCCCATCTTGTAGGGAGGAGGGAGGAGCCCCTCCATTCTTGGAGGCAGGGCAAGAGGGAGGCAGGTTCTAATGAATGTTTTGAAGACAGGCTGGTAGGGGGAAGGTAACCAACATAGCTTTACAGGTTAGTGCCACTTTCTGGTTGATGAGGTGTATTCCAGCTGTCGTTTTGGTTCTCCTAACAGCCTTGTCAAGTAGGTTGCATTCATTTTAGAGAAGGGGAAACTGGAACTTAAGAGCATTAGGGACTTGTGTGAAATCACATGGCTTGGGAGTGGCTGCACTGGGACATGTTGCTCCTGGGAACATGCAGGGAGACCAGACCTGGAGGGTCAGCTACAGAGTGCTTTGTGCTGGGGCCCTTCCTCATGCTCCTTTTTCCTTAATACTCACTCCCTGCTTCCACTTTTAGTCATGATCAGCCGGACGCTGGGGCCTGAGTTTGGAGGCAGCATCGGCCTCATGTTCTTCCTGGCTAACGTCTGTGGCTGTGCTGTCTCCCTGTTGGGACTGGTGGAGGCTGTGCTTGATGTCTTCGGAGCTGGTCTGTTCTCCCCACGCTGGTCATAGAACCTCTGTGGGTTTGCTAGGATCATGAGGGAGGGAGGCCCTCTCCAGGAGAGGGGCAAAGTGCCCCATTAGCTTGTCTTTTTTGAGCTTTTACCATGTGCCCAACCATATGTAGATGTCCGAGAGATTGTCCTGGCCCACAGGGAACTTACCATCTAGCCTCAGAGTCCAAGCTAATATCCCTAAAATCGACAGTAAGATTGGTGGTACCCACCCAGCAAAGCTAGGATGCTGGGGTTCAGTTTAGCGAAGGAGTAGGGAAGGTGGCCTTTCTAAGAACCGGTGGCACAAGGCAGGGTGTCTATTCCTGCTTTGTGGTTGGGGTCTCTCCTCAGGGCCTGGTCTTCTAATTTTGTTCCTTCCTTTGCAGATGCCACAGGGGCCAGTGGGCTCCGAGTCCTGCCCCAGGGCTATGGTTGGAGTTTGCTTTACGGATCCCTGCTGCTGGGCCTGGTGGGCGGGGTCTGCACCCTGGGGGCAGGCCTCTATGCCCGTGCCTCCTTCCTCACATTCCTGCTGGTCTCTGGTTCCCTGGCCTCAGTGCTGGTCAGCTTTGTGGCTGTGGGGCCCAGGGTCATCCAATTGACCCCTCGGCCTGGCCCCAATGGCTCCTCCCTGCCACCCCAGGTTGGCCACTTCACCGGCTTCAATAGCAGCACCCTGATGGCAAACTTGGGCGGTGAGCTGGACTCAGAAGTGCTGGGGTTCTCAGGGCAAGGAGCAGGCAGGTGTGGGGGCTGGGCCCTTGGAATCCCTGCATGAGAACAGATGTCAGAGAGAATTGGGGGCAGGTGATCTGGACCTGGAACAGAGCAGTTACTTAAGATCAGTTTGGTGTGTGCTGGCTGCCCTGTGTTTGGCTAGTGGGGCGTGAGAGTGGAGGACCGCAAGACAGTCACTGCCTTAGAGGAACTTGTTTAGTTGGAGAGATAAGATGTACAAGCCAGGAAACAATCAAATACATTAATAGACTGAATGTGATTCAAGTAGACAAGAATCAAAGAGAAGTCTAGAGGAATCAGATGGGAGGATGGGCCCGGGGCGGGAGGAGTAGGTGGACCTGGAGGTGGCCCCAGATAGGCTAGGAATTCAGGTAGGATCGAGAGGGAAGGTGTCTCAGGAAAGAGCATGGGTGAGGTCTGGAGGGAGGAACGGAGTGCACAGGAGAAGAAGGTGATGAGGAGCTGAGCCGGGCCCAGTGCTCGGTCAGGGATGTGGTCTTTGTGAGGGTGGCGGGGGAGGCAGGGGTGTTGTGGAATACGAGGAGTGGGTGGCCAGGCCAAGACACCTGGATCACTAGGAGGGATGTTGACACCTTCTCTTTCCTGGCAACAATCCCTCCTAGCCGGCTACGCCAAGGACTACACCACAGGGGCCGTGATGACCTTTGCCAGCGTCTTTGCCGTCCTTTTTAATGGCTGCACAGGCATCATGGCTGGCGCCAACATGTCTGGTGAGCGTCCCTGCCTACTGCCTCTTGGGCGTATGGGGCTGCCACCCTGTGCCCTTCCTTGGGTGCTGAAGGCTCAGGGATGTAGGGGATGGTAGAGGGCTGACCTCTTTCCCTTTGTTCCCCTCCCTCCAGGAGAGCTGAAGGACCCCAGCCGGGCGATTCCCCTGGGCACTATTGTGGCTGTTGCCTACACGTTTTTTATCTACATTCTGCTTTTCTTCCTCTCCAGCTTCACCTGTGACAGGTGCCTAGGGAGGGGGTGAGCCTGGTCCTCTAGAGGGTGCGGGGGTTGTTGGGACAGTGTCGATGGACCTGAATCACCAAAGATCACACAGGCTGAGGGGCAGATGCCCAAGTTGTTGGGGTACAGAGAAAATGGGAACTATTTCTCCCATGGGAGAGAGATGGAGCTACTGCTGCCAATGGGAGGGCTAGCTGAGTGGTGATAGATAATCTGCAGTCAGCATTCGCCATGTGCCTGGTACTGTTGTAAGCACTTGGTTTGGAGGTAGAGAATGGCTTTCTAGTCAATTTCCATAGACAGTTGGCTCCTTGTACATACACTGTTGGAATGTCTGTCATGTGATTAATTCTAAAGCAGTCCAATTATAACCAATGAATGCCAAGTCTATCCCCCTGGCACACTTGATCTATGACTATGGTCCTTGAGATAGGGGCTGGGCCAGTTGAGAATGTCCATCTCTTAACCTCACACGATGTTGTGAGCTCTTTTCTCTCAAGGACCCCAATGGCTGCACATTTGTTTATGATGTCTTCCTCTTTCCATTCCTGTAGGATCCTGCTGCAGGAGGACTATGGGTTCTTTCGTACCATCAGCCTGTGGCCCCCACTGGTATTGATTGGCATCTATGCCACAGCACTCTCAGCCTCCATGAGCTCCCTCATTGGTGCCTCCCGCATCCTCCACGCCCTGGCTCAGGACGACCTCTTTGGTGCGCTGTCTCCTGCTTCCTTGCCCAGCTCTGAGCATGCCTTTCATGTGTGTCTCAGTCTGTGCTGGGCCCAGGCTGATGTGTCTGCTGCGTTTCTGTTTGCACAGGAGTGATCTTGGCACCAGCCAAGGTGGTGTCCCGAGGGGGGAACCCCTGGGGGGCCGTGCTCTATTCATGGGGCCTAGTACAGGTAAGCCTTCCTCTTTAGACTGCCCTTCCCTTCACCCTAAGCCCCTCCTGGTTATGCTTTCAGGACCAGGAGGAACTTAAGTGTGGGCTGGGAGACAGAACCGAAAAGACAGGACGCATTGGCATTTGGTAGGGGGTGGCCCAACACTCAGCCTCTTGGTCCTTGTCCAGTTGGTGCTCCTGGCTGGGAAGTTGAATACCCTGGCTGCTGTGGCCACCGTCTTCTACTTGGTGGCCTATGCTGCGGTGGACCTGTCCTGCCTGAGCCTGGAGTGGGCCTCGGCCCCCAACTTCCGGTGAGAGAATGCCTGTGTTCCTTGAGAAAGAAAGAGGAATGGAAAGGACTTAACACCAAGAGGGCTGAGGCTGGAAATGGAATAGAGTGGCCTGGTGTTCAGAGCCGGCCCTGAGTGTCCTTCCTTCTCTCTGTCCATCTGCAGCCCCACCTTCAATCTGTTCTCCTGGCACACCTGCTTGCTGGGGGTAGCCTCCTGCCTGCTCATGATGTTTCTCATCAGCCCTGGGGCCGCCGGCGGTTCCCTGCTGCTCATGGGGCTGCTTTCTGCCTTGCTCACAGCCCGAGGTGGCCCCAGCAGCTGGGGCTATGTCAGCCAGGCCTTGCTCTTCCACCAGGTTGGGGGAGCTCAGAGGAGGGTGGGGAGGGGAGGGGGCAGTCTGGGAAAACCAACCCTACAAAGAGGCCTCCTCTTCCCTTGGCTAGAGTTGTGGTCCCTTTCTGAGAGGTGTTGAATGGGGGTTGCCCACTTGAGCCTTTCCTCCCCACCGCCTCACACTGTTCCCAGGTGCGTAAATACCTGCTCCGACTAGATGTGCGGAAGGAGCATGTGAAGTTCTGGCGACCTCAGTTGCTGCTCCTAGTGGGGAACCCCCGGGGTGCCCTGCCTCTGCTTCGGTTGGCCAACCAGCTCAAGAAGGGAGGCCTCTATGTGCTGGGCCACGTCACCCTGGGAGACCTTGGTGAGTTGCCCTCCACTCCTCCTTTCCCTCTTGGTCTCAGACATTCTTGATATTCTTTGTGTCCCAGAGGCCTCATCCTTCTCCCCAGGTGGCACTTGCAACCAGTGCACAGCCCTGCCCAGACCTTTTTCTTCTGCCCATTTGGGATTTGGACTCTAGGAGAAAGTACATAAGTTTCGCCCACATTTGCTGCCTTCCTTTTCCACAGACTGCCTGCCCTCTGACCCCGTGCAGCCACAGTACGGGGCATGGCTGAGCCTAGTGGACCGGGCCCAAGTGAAAGCCTTTGTGGACCTCACCCTCTCACCCTCTGTGCGTCAGGGAGCTCAACATCTGCTGCGGATCTCAGGCCTTGGTAAGCTGCTCCTTCCTGGGTCCCCTGTCTCCCTCTGTAGCCCTTTTCAGTCTCTGCCACTCTCCCCCTGACCACCCAAAAGAGTAAACCACGGATTGCAAACTCTGAAAGGAACCCACAGCCTAATGCAGATAAGAGATTACACTCAAAGATAACAGACAGTATGTGATCAGGTCTTGGAAGAAATGCTTAAGGACTAGAGATGGGGTGACATGTTATTTTTTTCTGATCCAAAATTGGGGCACAGGCTCAGAAGAGCATGTTATATTTCTGAGGACAATGGGAGTATTATTTGAAGCTGGGCACTGCCCCATCAAATCTGACAGATGGTTTCAGAGAAAGGAAGACCACTATGCGCTTATGTAGCCAGCAAAGGTTTTATAACAAGATGGTATCTCAGCTGGGCCTTGAAAGGGGTGGAGAAGCAGGGAGTGGCATCACATGGCCTCTGCAGAGATGCGGAGGGTGTGTGCAGATGATGCTTTTGGGTGGAGTGGAATCCCCAGCTTGTGACTCGGTCTCATTGCTGAGGCCTCCGGTCTTGTCCCCCGGCTTCCTCCAAATCCGTCCTCAGCTGCCTCCTCCTTTCTTAATCTCCGTGCTGGCATTTGTCCCCTCGCTGAGTACATGCATCCTTCTCCACTTAGAATCTGGCTAAAGATCAAGTGTTGGACATTGTCCCATTTGGTGTATATCAGAACCCTGAAAAATGCTCAGGAAAGGGTATCACTAGTTTAATTTGCAAGATCAGCGGGAGTTCACACCTGCTGAGGTGTTTTGGGATGTTATCAAGCGTTATGGCATAGACCCTGGAGCACCTTAGGGCCTGGTCTCTCTTGTGGGGAAACCTGTGGAAAGAGACCACTACTTTCATATTTAACCTGCAGAAAATGATTCAAATAAAAGGAAAAAGATTTCCTTTAAATACTGCATTCTCCTGGCAATCCATTTGTTTCCACTGAAGCGGTCTTAGAAAAGGCCCCAGAGTCTTCCTGTATAGTCAGCCCTCTTAAAGGGAGGGAATTATCTGATTCCACATTGGATGTTTAAAAATTAAAAACCAGGAGCTGTTGACAGGGACTTGGGGTGTTGTGGTGGGTACACACACCAGCCTAGAGGCTAAGAGAATGGGCTCTGGTGTCGGATGCATTCTGTTTACCTGTGACCCCAGCATCTACCAGCCATGAACTTTTGGTCAGGTGGCTTCACTGCTCTGTGCCTCAGTTTCCTTATCTGTGAAAGGGAGTGAGTACACAGTCCCTATTGGATCGTGTTGCTTCAAGGATCAATGAATTAAATAAAATGTGAAGTGCTTTCAGTAAGCCTTGGCCCCTGACCAGTATGTAGATGTTAGCTGTCCCTTTTCTGGGAACCATGCTTTGGACATGCCATCAGTAGGGAAACAGATTGTACAGCCCCAGCACTGAGTTCTCATCCTCCCCCAGCAGGGTCTGGGTGCTGTTTCCCTAGATATCGAGGCCATAAGCTTGACTCATCAGGGGCTGCCCAGTAGAGTCAGACCCTCAACGCCCATCGTGAAAAAGGTGTGCTGCAAGAAGCTTGGAGCGAGTGCATCCTACTGCCATGGAAAGTGCTCATTAGTTAAAAGAATCCTAAGGTGAACCTTGCCTATTTAAATAGGGGAGATTAGCCATGGAGATAAGTCAAATAAATGCATGAGAAAGTGTTTGGGAAAACTAAAAGTCATTATGCAAAACTGCATAATGTTGCCCTAAGAGACCAAGCAAAGTACAAACGAATGTCATACCTGATGTTGCCATCAGCATGTATGAATGGATGCGTATAGTATAGTGTAAACTCAGCGGCTGAGTCTGATTCCTGTTGGTTCCTTCCTACCTCCCCCTCTGTTTCCCCAGGTGGCATGAAGCCCAACACATTGGTCCTGGGTTTCTACGATGATGCTGTACCCCAGGATCACTTCCTGACAGACCCGGCTTTCTCTGAACCTGCTGATGGCACCCAGGAGGGCGGGTCCCCAGCCCTGAGTACTCTGTTCCCTCCACCCCGGGCTCCTGGGAGCCCCCGGGCTTTAAGTCCCCAGGACTACGTGGCCACAGTTGCGGACGCTCTCAAGATGAACAAGAATGTGGTTCTCGCACGGGCCTGTGGGGCCTTGCCCCCTGAGCGGCTGAGTCAGGGGTCCAGGGGCACCTCTCAGCCACATCATGTGGATGTGTGGCCCCTCAACCTGCTGCGGCCCCGGGGTGGGCCTGGCTACGTGGATGTGTGCGGCCTCTTCCTGCTACAGATGGCAACCATCTTGGGCATGGTGCCTGCTTGGCACAGTGCCCGGCTCCGGATCTTCTTGTGCCTGGGGCCTCGAGAGGCCCCTGGGGCGGCTGAGGGGCGGCTCCGGGCACTGCTGAGCCAGCTGAGGATCCGGGCCCAGGTGCAGGAGGTGCTGTGGGGTGATGGGGCTGGGTCCGGAGAGCCTGAGGAGGAGGAGGAAGGGGACTTCGTGAACGGCAGGCGGGGAGACTCTGAGGCAGAGGCCCTGGCATGCAGTGCCAACGCCCTAGTTCGGGCCCAGCAGGGGCGTGGCAGAGGAGGAGGGCCTGGTGGGCCTGAGGGTGGGGATGGCGAGGAGGGTCCCACCACAGCACTCACCTTCCTGTATTTGCCACGGCCGCCTGCTGATCCTGCCCGCTACCCCCACTACCTGGCACTGCTGGAGATTCTGAGCCGAGATCTGGGCCCTACACTGCTCATTCATGGTGTCACCCCCGTCACTTGCACTGATCTCTGATGCCTGTTCCTGAAGTAGAGTGTCCAAGTCTGGCAGCCCACCTTGATTAGCAAATGAGGAGAGGAAGGGCTGCCTCCGGCCTTCCCTGCACATGGGACGTAGAGCCAGGTAGAGGTATTAGGGGACCCCGGGCTAGGGCATCGCTAGATCTCTAGGAGAGGGGCCTCGGTGCGCTAATTAATGCGTGGTCGCAGCTGTCCCTGCCAGGCCAGGGGAGGGAGTCAGCGCTGCCCCCTTTCCCTTCACTGGTGCCTTGATGGGGGCTGGGTCTCTGTGAGTCTAGGCTACCTCAGTCTCCCCCTCACCTGACTGACTCATTGACCCCTGAGGTTGTAATGTTTTTGTTCTGTTTTACTTTTCTAACTGCTGAACGTCAATAAAAGACAACACTACAAGCTGGCTGAACACTGCTGGTGTGGGGGTAGGGTAGGTGGGACAGGAAGAGGGAAAGATCTGTTTGGGGCGGGGGTGGAATGTGGGAAAGAGGAGCGCTGGAGTGTCCTAGCGGCGAGGAGGCCACGTGCAGGACCTGGGGCGCCAGCCTGGGTGGGGACTCGTGGAAACGGAGCCAGCCCGCAATCACCCAGACGGGTTCTGGCGGAAAGCCCTCCAAGCGGGGCAGCAGGGGGCTGACTTGGGTGGGGGGAAGGAACGCTGTTTAGGGCCTAGGGGGCCACGTGACCCTCCCCCAGGAATGTGCTGACGTCACCGGGGGCGTGGCCGTCCCCCAAATTGGGGAGGCAGGGGGGGAAAAAAGGCCAGGAAAAGTTTCTTTCCTGGAGTCCCAAACGAAGTGTGCGACGGAAGAAGGAATCAAGGCCAGAGGCCCGGGGCTCCGTGGGACCCTAACCGCTGTCAGGAGTCCCCCGTTCCAGGCCATGTCGGGGCCCACTTGGCTTCCCCCCAAGCAACCAGAGCCCGCCAGAGCCTCTCAGGGGCGAGCTCACCCCCGAGGTATCGCGGGGCCGCCCCCAGCCCGCGGAGCAGGTAAGACAGCCCCAGTAAGGCTGAGGAGGCCCCCGGCTGGTAGGCTTCTGCAAGTCCCACCGAGCCTGCCCCTGCCGCTCCTTACCCTAAGCGGGGCTGGAACCAGCGGCCCCTGCCCTCTCGGCAGCCCTCCTAGCCTCCTGTCTCATTCTCGGACTCCAGGTGCGGGTGGACGTGGGTTGCGGGGAGGCGGAGAGGAGTGACCCGAGAGGGCGGCCTCCACAAGTGTTACCCTTGTCTCCTTCCCTATCTCCACCTTCACTCTCTTTTCTCTCACCCAAGCACTCCAGCCCCACCCCAGGGTCAATTTTTGCCCTGTCCCATCTGAGCAGTGTTACCAGGTCTTGGGTGGACCGGAGGATAGGGGGCCGGCCTGGGCGGGGTGCCATGGTGCACCCCAGCGCTCTCAGGTAAGAGCCGGGATTGGGTGGGGGTGCATCGTATGCAGGGCAAGAGAAGAGGCCATGTGATTTGATTCCCTGCTTTTACTCTATCCCCAGGGGCTCCCCCCAGATAGGGGGGGCCTGCGCCCAGGAAGTCTGGATGCTGAGATAGATTCCCTTACTAGCATGTTGGCTGAGCTGGATGGGGGTCGTGGTCATGCCCCACGGCGGCCTAACCGGCAGGTGACCCCCCCATCCCTCCCTTGTTCCTTGTCCCCTCTCTCCTTCCTTCAGCCTGGTCCCTTCTCTCTCCATTCAGCCCCCCACCCCCACCCCATGTAAGTGATGCACACAGCAGCTCTGGACCTCTAGAGCTCAATGGGTTGTCAGCCACTCCAGGGTGGGACCATTCCTTGTCAAAAACCATCCCTTACCTGGGCGCAACACACATGGGGTTGGGGGCATGGGAGTTTCCACAGGTGTGTGCCCTATAATGGACTGCTCACTCCTTTTGGTCTGCATTTCTCCCCAGGCTTATGATCCCCCTCAGCCCCCTGCCTACCGCCCTGGCTCTGGCTCTGGCTCCATGAAGCCGAACGGAGGGGTTGTTCCTCCTCCACTGCTCCCAGCATCCCCCTATGGGGGCCCCACTCCAGCCTCCTATGCTACAGCCAGTACTCCTGCTGGCCCTGCCTTTCCTGTGCAAGTGAAGGTGGCACAGCCAGTGAGAGGCTGTGGCCCCCCCAGAGGGGGCCCCTCTCAGGCCTCAGGGCCTCTGCTGGGCCCTCACTTTCCTCTCCCGGGCCGAGGTGAAGTCTGGGGGACTGGCTATAGGAGCCATCGAGAGCCAGGGCTTGGGTGTAAAGAGGAGGCTGCTGGGAGCTCCAGCCCTGCAGGAGGAAGAGGAAGTGGGTACGGGCACCAGGTGAGCCCTGGACAGTGGGATTTGGGGTCCTCACAGACAACTGGAGACTGATTGGGTGGGGTGGGGGTGGGGGTGGGGTATTAAGTGCTGGTTGTCGGAGGTTTGGGGCCTCAGAGCTCTGGACCCCCTCCCCGTCCCTCCAAAGGTGTACAGGAGATCCCGAAATGTAAGAGGGAGGGGACTAGAGTAACACAGTGGCTCCTCAAGGCACACCCTTGGACCCTGCGCTGAGATGTTCTCTAACGAGCTTTCTGGTCACCCTCAGGTATTTTGACAGCACTGAAAGCTAGAGATAGTGCTGAACTCGATTCTCACCTCCCAGGTCCCCCTGAGCCAGCCTCCTGAGGAGGAGCTTGAGAGGCTGACCAAGAAGTTGGTGCATGACATGAGCCACCCACCCAGTGGGGAGTACTTTGGTGAGCCAAGTCTGAGGGTGGGTGGAAAGGGTGGGGGGCTGGAGAGTCAGAGGGACAGCAGATGTGGCTTTCTGGCCTATGCAGGTTGACCCTGTCCCTCCCTGTCCCCCAGGCCGGTGTGGGGGCTGTGGAGAAGATGTGGTTGGGGATGGGGCCGGGGTTGTGGCCCTGGACCGCGTCTTTCACGTTGGCTGCTTTGTGTGTTCTACGTGCCGGGCCCAGCTTCGGGGCCAACATTTCTATGCTGTGGAGAGGAGGGCGTATTGTGAGAGCTGCTACGTGGTAAGTTGTTGGGGCTGGGGGCTAGAGTCAGCAGAGGAGGGGGGCGGGGGGGGGGGCTTCCATCCAAGGTGGGAACGAGATGTCCATGTCCCAAAGAGGAACAGGGCTCAAGGCTGGGGGACTAAAGCTGGCATACAAGGGAGGAATTAAGTAGCTAAATACTGGCTGCTGGAGGGGAAGGGCAATAGCCCCTTGCAAATTTGAGGCATTATTTATTTTAGAGTTAAGGGAATGTATTAAATTTCCCACAACACACTGTAGGACAGATATTGAAGGAAACTGAAGTTCAGGGAGGTTACATAACCTTTCTGGGAAGCTGCAGTGCTGAGATTTGTACTCAGATCTGTTCAAGGCCACTTTTCACTAGATCAAATGCAGGGGCTACATAAACAAATGGGTGGGCTGGCAGGATGCCTGTAGACCTGCTGTGGGCCTTCCCAGCCCCTGACCTTCCTGTCCCACTTCCCAACAGGCCACCTTGGAGAAGTGTTCCACATGCTCTCAACCCATCCTGGACAGGATCCTTCGGGCTATGGGGAAGGCCTACCATCCTGGCTGCTTTACCTGTGTGGTGTGCCACCGTGGCCTTGATGGCATCCCTTTCACAGTGGATGCCACCAGCCAGATCCACTGCATTGAGGACTTCCACAGGTCAGACTGGATCCCCCATCTTTGTCTCAGGATGTCTGCTTTTTTCACCTTTCCCCTCCCTTCTTCATGTCCCAGGACCAGCCTCTCCTGTTTCCCACCTTTGCCATGCCTTGTCCTCCTTAACATCACTTCCTTCCCCAACATCCAAGACCATACCGCTGGCCTCTCCCCTTCCCTCCCACATCCCACCTTCTCTGGACTCCATTGTTACTCCCTTCCAACCCTGGGCCTTGACAACCACCTTGGCTCTCTTCTACTCCAGGAAATTTGCTCCACGATGCTCCGTGTGCGGTGGGGCCATCATGCCTGAGCCAGGTCAGGAGGAGACTGTGCGGATTGTTGCTCTAGATCGCAGTTTTCATATTGGCTGTTACAAGTGCGAGGTCAGGTGTCCTGGACAAGGGGAAAAGGAGTTCTTGGGGTCCAGGCTCACTGGGTATGGTAGAACCCAGGGGTCTTGGCCTGATGGAAAGCTGTTACTTCTTTCCTAACAGGAGTGTGGGCTGCTGCTCTCCTCTGAGGGTGAGTGTCAGGGCTGCTACCCACTTGATGGTCACATCTTGTGCAAGGCCTGCAGTGCCTGGCGCATCCAGGAGCTCTCAGCCACGGTCACCACTGACTGCTGAGTCTTCCCAGAAGCACCTGCTGCATTCTCCCTTCCCATCCACCACCTTCCCTGACATCTGCCTTTACAATTCTGTCACCAAATGATATGTCCTCTTCCTCCAATCATGAAATAATAATCTCTTAAGAGTTTGTAAGACACCTCAAGTCTATTGTCTCATCTGATTCTTACAGCAACCCAACAAAGCACAACTGTTGTCAGCATTTTTAGCTGAGAAGTGACCTTCCCAGACTGCATGGTTCTCAAGTGGCAGAACCTGGGTCTTCATAGTCCTGGCCCAATTTTTTGCAACTCTACTACAGTCAGCCCTCTATATCCCTGGGTTCAATCACCTGAGGATAAAAACAATTGAGAAAAAAGTTACATTTAGCTAACGTGTACTGTGTGGTTAGGCTTACCGTGGCCGTGCCCAGTACTGAACATGTACAGATTTTTTCCTTTGTCATTATTCCCTAAACAGTATATTATAAAAACTATTTACATAGCATTTACATTGTATTAGGTATTATAAGCAATCTAAAGGTGATTTAAAGTATACAAGAGGATATGCATAGGTTATATGCAAATAATATGCTATTTAATATATGAGATTTGAGAATCTGCAGATTTTGGTATCCCTGGGGGTCCTGGAACCAATCCCCTCCAGATACCAAGGTACACCAAGGGATGACTGTATACATTCTTTTCTTTACAATGTAGTTTGGTGTAGAGATACCCCACCTCTCAGTGCTGGGAGTAAGGCAGCAGCACGCTCCAGGAGACAGCATTTCCTATTGTCTTCACACTCAACTCACTGACCAAGGACTTGGTGCTATCCTGAGGGTGGTGGTGCACTTAATCTGGGGCAAGCCACATACTGTTGATCAAGACCTCAACCTACAACCTGTGTCATCAAAGTACTGGTCGGGACGAGACTCAGATTAGCCAGTTTTGCTTACAAAAGGGGGTACCTTTGTCAAAGAGGAGGAGGAACAATGAATGAATGGGTTTTGCAGGTAGATTGTACCAGGCACCAATGAAAAGGCTGGTTCTCCAGAAGGAGCACAAAATGGTGGGAGATGCTTTAAAATGGTTGCTCTAGCCCGCTAAACGCCCGCACTCCCCAAGCCCCATCCCTGCGCGAGAGCGGGGCACAATGCCTAGATGGTCTAGAACCGGACACTTCCGGGTAAGTGTGACCTTCGACCTCGGCCTGAGGAAGCTCTCCTTCAGTACCGCCTTCCCCACGCTATGCTTGGTCCAGCCCAGCCTCCGTAGTGTCTCTTGGTCAAGCAGTTCTCGTTCCGGAAAAATCGCGAGTTTTCAGAGTTCCCGTCCCTTCCCATCATTCCCCGGTGCGCCGGGCCTTTCCCTGTTTAGTTCTAGTTAGGGCCGCGCGGGTAGTTGTAGTGCGAGGACCCGTTCCGCGAGTGACGCAGGCACCGCGCGAGCTGCGCGCCGACCGCATCCTCCGCTGTCCCACTCTCTTCGCAACTCCTCGGCCCCGTACCTGAGAGCCCGGTGTCTCCCTCTCACCATCTTCGCGGTCCTCTTCGCGCGCCCGAGGCAAGGGGCGGGCCCAGGTCTCCCAGAGACCCTGCAGGCGGGAGCGCGAGGCTAACGGCCGCGACCCCTCCCAGGTGGGGGAGGGGAGGGGCCTGGAGAGCCGGGGCTGGGGCGGGCGGGCGGGCGGGAGGGAGAGGCGCTCGGGGCAAACGGGGTGGGCGGGAGACCCCTGGGGGCGAATGGAGTCTCGGGGCCGTCCACCTGCTGGGGAAGAGGGCTGAGGATGGCGGGGACCGCGGAAGGCTGGCCTTTGCCGGGAGAGGCAGTAGTGCTGTTTCAGAGGGGCGAACCTTTTTTTGTAAGGGTATTCACCTGAATACCGTTTTTGGGCTCCAGGCTTCAAACCGCGCTATGGGTGACAGTGATGACGAGTATGATCGAAGACGCAGGGACAAGTTTAGGAGAGAGCGCAGCGACTATGATCGTTCGCGGGAAAGAGATGAAAGACGTCGAGGGGACGATTGGAATGACCGGTAAGACACTTTTTCTCGGTTTTGGCACCCCCCACCCCCATTCACATGTTGTACTCCATTCTCATTGCGTTTCCATTATAATTTCATTAGGGCAAACCATATGAAATCGCTCATACTTGACCGTTTCATGTGGTTCATTCAACCTGTTTGTTCTTGGCCACAGATCCTTGAAATATCCAGAAGATCAAAGCAATAGAGCTGAGAGAGTTTTGAGTATGGAAAAGTAGTATTTATAAGTGTTCTTAAAATATGTCTATTTATTGTTTCTAAATTATACCTCAAAAAAGTTGATTAAAAAAAAGTAGTATGATAGAATTGATTTCTCTGGAGAGGCTGTCAGACTAGTTCCCTGGCAGAATGTGATTAAATTTCTTGTAATTGTCTTGCCTAAAATCAGAATGTTCTTTGGATAGTGATGGAATTGAGTTTGACAGTGATAGGTTTGATTCAATAGTGATTAGCTTTCTGGGGTATACCCGAGTTAATTATAGTTAGGGTGTTTCCATTAAGAAACATCAGACATGGCCCTGGCTGATGTGGCCTAGTGGAGTGAGTGTCAACCTGCAAACTGGAAAGGTCCCTGGTTTGATTCCTAGTCAGGGCACAGGCCTGGGTTGCAGGACAGGTCATTAGTTGGGGGCATGAGAGAGGCAACTGGTCACTCTCTCTCCCTCTCTTTCTCTCTCCCTTCCCATCTCTCTAAAAATAAATAAATGAAATCTTTTTCAAAAAATCTGATGTGACTTCAAATAAAGTAATCAAGATTAGGAGGAACTGTGGAAGGTTTTTAATTTTTTTTTTGTAAATATAAGAAGTGTCACCAATATCTAATCAGCTGATGGCAGTGGTTTGATTTGGAAACAGGTTACCAGAAAAAAATTTGTTGCTGAATTACTGTGATAGGGTTTATTTATTCAATATGGTTTTGAAAAATTAATTTAGTAAATTATTCAGGCTTTAAATGTATGTCTTCACTGTGGAGACACTTGCACTGTTTTCTTTGGTATTTTCTAAGAAAGAAGGAAAGCTGTTTTTAATTCTGTAGATGAGTAATGTGTGGTTATTGTTTTTAAGGAGCTTACAGTCTGGGGGGCCAGTATGGCCTGGGGTATATGCTACAAAAGAGTATTTATGACAGATCATCATAAAGATGGTAAGCATTGAGGGAACATTTTTTTTTAAAATTTTTTCTTACTTATTTTTTAGATTTTATATATTTTTAGAGGGGAAAGGAGGGAAAAAGAGAGGGAGCAGAATGCCAGAGACCAAACCCACAACCGAGGCATGTGCCTTGACCAGGAATTGAACCGGTGACTTTTCGCTTTGCAGGACCATACCCAACAAATTGAGGCACGCAGGTCAGGGCAAGGGAACAGATCTGTTAAGTGAGGGGAGTAGTGGTGGAGGTGGTGTGTCAGGGAGCGCTGCAGGAAAGCAGTGCTTAGAAGAAAGATGCGTGAGAATTCCCCAGACACAGGTGGTGTGAATAGCTTTGAGTTGTGGATAAAACAGGTGCAGAAAAGAGCATGTATTCTAGTTTTTTCAGAGTATTGGTTCTCAAAATGTGGTCCACAGACCCTAGGGGATGTGTGAAATTACAACTATTTTTATGGTAATATTAAGTGTTGTCATTTGGGCTGTATTGACATTTGCACTGATGGTGCTATAGCAGTGGTAGGTGAAACTGCTGGTGCCTTAGCACACAGGAAGGCAGTGGCACCGAATAGGAGGGGGAAACCCAACCATTTTCAGTTAATGGTTCTTGATAAAGCAGTAATATTTTTATTAAGTTGGATTATTGAATATACATTTAATATACATGACAAATGACATAAAGCAGTTCTGCGTGTAAGAATAAAATGGTTATCTTTTTTTAAAAAATAAGATTTTATTTCTTTTTAGAGAGAGGGGAAGGGAGGGAGAAAGAGGGAGAGAAACATCAATGTGTGGTTGCCTCTCTTTCGCCCCTGCTGGGGACCTGGCCTGCAACCCAGGCATGTGCCCCAGCTGGGAATTGAACCCGGAACCCTTTGGTTTGCATGCTAGCACTCAATCCACTAAAATGGTTATCTTGAGGAAGAACATTTGTAGGATTGAACCATGAGATAAGTAATAGGGTTTTTTTGTTTGTCTTGGTTTTAGTTGTTTCTATGAGATGCCTTTTTTAAAAAATATGAATAAAAAATTGTAAAACAGTGGTTATTCATATTTGGGTATTTGGCAGTTGTTTTCATGAAAACAAACTAAGAGAACCTGTTACTTAAAGAAAAATTATTAGGCCCTGGCCCATGTGGCTCAGTTGATTGGAGCATTGTCCAGTACATGGAAAAGTCGTGGCTTTGATTCCCAGTCAGGGCACATACCCAGTCAGGGCACATGCATGTTTGTCCCTGTTTGGTGTGCATAAGAGAATCAACTGATCCATGTTGCTTTCTCACATTGAAGTTTCCCTTTCTCCTCTAAGAATCAGTGAGCTTGTCCTCTGTTAAGGATTAAAAAACCAAGGGTCAGTTTTGTAGACAATGAGGAAGTGTAACTTTCCAATGAAAACTAAAGTTTTGGGAAACTTGTATCTACTAATGTGAAATTGTCAGCTTCCCACTACTTAAGGACTTTTCTGAGGAGATGGGTAGTGGTACTAAAGAATGTGATGTTTCGATACCATGTAACAAGATATGTCAAGATCCAGTCATAGAGCAAGGTAGAAAAATGGATTTTACCTTGACACTATTTAGTAGCACACTAATTGTCAAGTTTTGGGTGGTGTCAAAGAATATCCCCAGTTACCTGACAAAGCCGTTAAAATTATTGTTTTCCAACTACATACCAGTGTGAGGCCAGATTATCTATATACTTTTCAGTTGAACAACATATTACAATAGATTGAATATAGAAGCAAATATGAGAATCTAGCTGTTAAGCCAGATCTTGAAAAATTTTGAAAATTTAAAAAGTACCACTTTTCTCACAATTTTTTTGAAATAGCCATTTTAATAAAAATATGCAGTTTATATTAATATACGACTTCACATTGAATAGGTACTAATTTTTTCTGTGCCTATTTTGAATAAAGTAAGTATTGATAGATAAAACCCACATAAACAAAAACTCTTTAACATTCAGTAATTTTGAAGAGTATAAGGGGGTCCTAAGACAAGAAAGTTT